CTATTCTGAAATTAATACCATTAATCAAATTAGCCAATTACTTTTCAATTCAGTCTTATTAAAAAAAAAACAAATGGGAACATAGCTAGATACTTTTCTAGAATACAATCTGAATGTCTTTGAGCCCAATTCCTGTTATAATCCCTTTGGCATCCCGAAACATACTCCTTCCTGCCTATCGTTCTGTGCGCATGTTGGGGTTCCCCTCCCTCTAGAATGACCCTTTTGACTCGACTTCCAGCCTGCTTGGGCTTGTCTGGTCCCACAGTTCTGCACTCCAGTTCCAAAGGCTCACACATTACAGCGGCGAGCCAACTTCTCAGAATACAAGTTCATTAGTTACCTTTCTCACTGCAGTGACCAATCACTTTACAATGAGCTTCTGAAGGGAGGAGAGGCTTGCCTTAGTCCGTGGTTTGAGGGGAGACAGGACATCAGAGTGAGGAAAGCTAGGAGGCCAGGTCTGCCTTTGCTAGGGTAGTAGCAGCTGGTGGTGCAGCTTCCTCACGTTTCCGCTGATCGGGAAACAGAGGGACTATCCATGACAAGGCTATATCCTCAAGACTCCATCCAAGTGACCTAATTCCACCAGCTGGTCTTTATGTCTTAAAGTTCTATAGCTTCCCCTAAACACCACCAGCACATGGCAAACCAGTTTTGAAACACACAAGCGTGTGGTGACATAACACTATAACACTTACAAACCACAGCACCGATAAACTTAGGGCTTACAGTGGGGCTATGTTTCCAAGCATACAACCTGATGTCTGGCGAGTGTTGACTTAGGGTCTCAGGGTAGGGCCCCTGTATGTTTTGGCAGTTAGTTCATCAGGGTCTCTATGATTGGAGCAACATGGCGAGGCTAACCAAAGAGTCAGCTTCCCCCAAGGGGTGCTTTTTTTTTTTCTTTTTTCCATGTCGTAGGTCAGACACACGACTGAGGAATTTCTGCAGGACCCAAGCTTGAAGGAGTTTGAGTTTCAGCAGTAACCAGCCACGGGTAACGAACCAGATCTGTGTTGTTCTTGCCAGAGAAATTTTTGTTCAGTTTTTCATTAGTGCTAATGAAACTCACTCTGGTCAAAGGAAATCACATGATGCCACCACAGCTGTTTCACTGAAAGCTGCTAGCATGAGCTGCAAAGCTGTTTATAACCTTGAGCTTTGGGCGTTGGCCTCAAGGAGACAAGTCCCAATGAAAAATAAGTAAACTGGATAGGCGTGTTTCAAATTTAAAACTGAGAATTTGTAATCGAGATTGTTCGAAATACTCATGAAGCAATGGCTGAACAAGGTTTAGAAGTTCTTAGAAGGTGAAGACTCCTGAGATGTTAGAAATGAGAGCTCTGGGGTTCCTTGGGCCACCAGGAATTACTCAGATGACTAATGCAGAGCAGAGAACTGTGTGAGTGTACAGTTGCTGTAAGTACCACCTGACAAAAGGGCTTCGAGGACCAGAAACAGGGTTCAGAAATGAAGTCTGAGACATAGACATTCAAATGAACTTCATTGGCTTCCCCCCACCTCCCCACGGTATAACAGTATCGTAAGGTAAATAAGAAGTGAAGTCCCCAGAAGGTCTAGAGAAGGCTTCGCTTAGACTTCCATCCACACATGTCGGTAAGACTCTCACTCTCCAGAAACTTGCTCTCACACCTTTCTGAATATGGTCTACCGCTCCCTGCTGGGAAGACCGAGGGAGGACGAGGCGGACAGGTGAGAATCCTGAATTACAGCCCTGGAAAGCTCACCAGAGGAAGGGTGGAAATTCCCAAGTTGCCTGCGTGACTGGCCATTGATGAGTCATCTGTAGCCCAAAGGCCATGTGTAACTTGGCCAACTTTAGGGAGGGCTCTGCCACTAGGTTTCAGAATGAGAGTTTAGAAAGTCTCTGAGTGTTTTGTTAATAAGCCTAAATATTTTCACCTTAGTGGCTAAGACTAGTACCAAATTTTGTTAGTTGAATTACTGTAGTTAGTAAAGATAACGATGTATTATAAGAATACATATATGTATATACACACACACACACTCACAACTATTAAGTATGTTAGAGCTTATAACTAATTTTACTTTGTTTTAATATCCTTGTAATACTTAAAGCTTTTAAAAAATTTTAATTCCATAATGTAAAATAATATTTTTTGTTTGGGAGAAAAAAATCATCCAACCAATAATTTTATTTTTCATAGATTTGCCTATATAAGAGACAACAGATCAGACTATATGAACGTCATTTTCGCTGTGGCAATCTTCAACACACATACTATAAACAATATTTAGAGACAGGTAAAAATTGGGGCTATAAATTAAAAATCTATAATACATAAAAATATTTCTCTGGGAATAGTGATGTTCACCAAGCACTGGGGTCTGGTGTAGTTTTGCATATTTCTCTTCAGGGAGCACCATGACCTAGAATTTTGTTTTCATCTCTTTCCTCTCAATATATAATTAGCAGCTATATTGGTAAACTTGATAGTGCTGAGGTCTTATTAGCTCAGTTTTTACCAGATATTATAATGTAATTTCTGAGACTTTTTTTTTTCAAAAAAAGATTCATCCATTATTCAAAATCAATTATGCATTTAGGTTTAAATTAATTTGTTAAAACCTAATCTGGATGTGAAATAAAATTATCTTAGAATAATTTTTATTTTAAGTGGAGGAGTACTGAGAGCCCAGAGGACTTTCGGTTCTCTCCATTCTTCTCACTGTGGTAGAGCTACCAGGCTGCCCGCTGCCTTTAGAACATGGCTCCCGTCCCCACTCATGTTCAGACTCTGGGACTTATTAGCACATTTTGATACTTCAGGGTTGCATTGAACCTGTCTCTGATCTTCAGCTTGTCACCTCCTCTTCTGAGACCTTTTTTGCTTGACCTCTGGGTCCCATTTACTGGCACCAGCTCCCCTTGTACCACTTGTTATTATTATTTCTTGAGTACCACTTATTCCTACATGACCAGCTTCAATATGAAAGGCAACATTAATTCAAACAGCTTAGCCCATTCTAAGCGACTCACATCAAATGTAAAGCCGTCTAGATTAAGCACTGAGACCTAGACGGACTGGACCGCCTAACTTCCACCTTCAAAACCGTGTCAAGGATACCAGTGTGATGGGGGCAGGAGACAGAATCCCTGACTTGATGAAAGTAAAAAGGGCCCTCATTGTGAAGCTTCCCACCCAGTGTGGAGCTTATCAGGGCCACCAGGGGTAAGGGCAGCAGACAGCTGCCTGCAAAGACCGCCACGGTGACAGGAGCTGGTAGTATCTTTGGAGAAGGAAGATGGAGAAAAACCTCAAAGTTCCCAAGCTCCCTCCACAAGACTCCCCCGTGATAGAAGGACTTTACAGCACTTCTGCTATCTCAGAGCCTGAAAGAGTTTGTTGAAGACAGAGAAAGTCAAACCACACCCCTGGGGTGGAGGTAGGGAGTTCAGGTTAGATGGTCTCCCCAGTTGGCCCTTGTTTGACGCTTCTGCCCGGGGCAGGGTCCTACCTCCAGTCAGTGCCCCTAACTGCAGCTGCTGCAGGCAGAGGGGCTCATTCCTACCTCAGCCACCAGAGACCTGAGATTCGGGTATTTCAAGACCTGCCAGAGACAGGACCCCTACTGCCACTACTGAGCCTGCAGACTTGTTTGCTGAAAAAGGGCCAGCTATTGTGGGCACTCTAAAGCCCAGTGAGAGTTTTTGAGCTTGACACCCTGAGACCTCTGAAAGCACAGGGCTGTAATACCTACAACCACCCCCAATAGGCACCCCAAGGCCTCCGGAAGGAAAATCTGTTGCTGTACTTTTGCCTTTGAGACTCATGGAGTTCTTTATTTCTGCCTGACAAGTAAAGTTACCCTTCTTTTTCCTTTTGCTGTCTGCCATACTTCCAACTTCATACTTTCTCTCTGTTCTTTTTCTTTCCAACTCACTGAGCCCAATTTATGCTTCAGGCAGGCATATGAGTATAGGCCATCCTCTGCATGGACAGCATACGAAAGGTTGTACCCTTGAAGAAAAGGGGTTCTTCTTTTCCTGGCTTCCATCAGTTGCCAATAACTTCTAGTCTGGGGTGTCTGGTGAGCCCGCTGACCACCCGTCATGGAATATTTACTGGTTTGTGCAAATCATATCCAGGCAATTTTACCTGCTGTGAGTTTATGGCTCTGTTATTCACTTGTTTCAGACAAACCAGACAAACCTACCACTGAGCTACATATAGTCTCAACCATTATTTTTATTATTACTATGTTTATTATTACTATGTGACTCAGTAATTTAATGTTGTAAGCTACTGATAGATATTTGCCTGCATATGAAAAGATATTAATCTATTTGATCAAATTGGAGCTCTCCAAATTTGTCAATATAATTCTGAAGATTGAAAATTAGTCTGATTATTTACTTCTCATTCTTCACAGAAGAAAAGATTGTATTTGCTAATCTCTTCTTTCCTTGAGATGACTTCACAGATACTCCACCTCATGAAGAAATGAGGCCCAATTGTCTGCTGTTCTTTCTTCTCTGACAGGTTATTGAAAAGCCTCTATTCGAGGCAGAGACCCACATTGGAGCACTGGACTGAGCTCCCAAGGTCCAGTTGAAAAGTGGAAGGAATGAGAATATGAGCAAAGAGGTCAAGACCGTGATGAGTTCATCTATTGAATAGTTTACCTGAGCTAATGGGAGCTCACCAACTCCAGCTGGACTGGAAGGAACAAGCATAGGTCCAAACTACTCCCTCTGAATGTGGCTGGGGCAGACTGCTGGGCCACTGGCAGTGGCACTGGGATTTATCTCTATGCATGTACTGGTTTTTTGGGATCCTATTCTCTTTGAATGTATACTTTGCACAGTCTAGATGTAATGCGGAGGGCCTTGGACCTTCCACAAAAGCAATATGCCTTACCCTCCCTGAGGATTAGATGGGGGTGTGTGGAGGGAATGGAAGGAGGGGAGGGAGTGGGAATTTGGGTTGGTATTTTTTTTTAAATTTAATAAATTAAAAAAGAAAGAAAAGGCTCTGTCCTTAATGTGTTTATAGGACATAACAATTGCAGAATTTTTTAATCGCTTTCAGTTTTGGGAAGAAGATTTGTGTTTGGACAGAACTATTTACAACAATCCCTTGGATTCAAAATTAATATTTCACTAATCAAAATTGTTAATTTAAAAACTTGACATTTCTTCAACCTTTAACTGCAAACCCTTTAACAATTACACAACAATGAATCTGTCCTACACAAAATTGTATCTTAATTCTGGTGAAAAAAATCACTAACAATCAAAGAAAATTTTGATTCTGCTTAGCAATACTGTAGCACTATAGTCAAGAGGTACCCAGGTCAGAAACACACAGTGTTATTGATCTCAACATTGAGAGTACTGCAATAGAATTCTAAAACAGCAATAGTTTAAAGTAGCATTTCTGTTTATTGACAAAAGCTACTTTTAGAGAATAAATACTCTTGTATAAATACTTAAGCATTATCATTTGTGAAGGACAATATCTCTGAAAGTGTTGTGTTTTTCCTTTGATGAAAAAACCCCGGTCTGCCAGGATTTCCCTACGTGGTGTTGGAAGGCATTCCAGAGGTTTTATGTTCCCTTGGCATCTTTGCACACACAAGTTTGTGGGAAGTAAGTATGTTAAAGCGAATTTTTCATGTGTCATCAAAATTACTTTTGTTAAAGATAATTTCAATATAAAATGAATTTGAATTTTTCTTTCCTTAAATACTTAAAGCATGTAGTGTTAAAATTTTTGGTAGACATGGACCTAAGGGCAAAGCCCCAATAATGGTAGCTATAAAATATTCATCAGTATTATTGATTGTATATCATAGATAAATATATCTTTAACCTCCAGTATGTCACAATGTGACCTTATTTGAAAATAAATTGCTTGCAGATACAGTTGTTTAAGGTGAGATCACATTGGAATAAGGTGGACCTCATCCAGTATGAGAGATGTCCTTATGAAAAGATGCCATGTGAAGAGCCAGACAAGCGTAGAGGATAAGCAATGTGAAGATGCGGGGAAGTAGAAACACCATCACCATGCCAAGGAATGGCTGAGGCTACCCAGAAGCTGGGAGAGAGGAACAGAAGAAACTATTTCCCAGAGTCCTCCGAAGGAAGTAACCTTGGGAACCTCTTATCTCAGCTGAAACTCCAGATCTGCAAGACCGTGGGTATCTGTTGCTTAAGCTTGTGGAAGTTTGTTAGGGCACTTCAGCATTGGGAAAGCCAGTGAGAAAGAAGTGTACTCTGAAAAGTGGGCAAAAGAGAGCGAAAATGATGATGATAGATCTTAGCGTCCTTAAACAGATTTAGCAAGAAAAGTCCCATAGTTCAAGTGCTTTTTGAGCGTCAAGGTTTTTTTGTTTGTTGTTTGTTTTGTTTGCTGTGTGTGTGTGTGTATGTATGTTATTTGTGTATTTAATTTTTATTCAAGTACCACTGATTTCCACACACAAGTTCGAGTATGGTCTCTCCAGGTCCCTGTTCTTACAGTTCTGAATGTGTTCTCCCTAGGTTTCATGCATACTCATCAATAACACACACTCAGTTCCTACTGCTCTGAGAAGTGTGTACCTCCAACTTTCAGAGCATGCCCGGGTCAGAGGTTAAGTCGCATGACCTGGGCTAAGGCAAATGGAAACAGGGAACTAAGACACCTCTCAGGAGGAACACATAAATTGATTTCTATTAGTCATGGAAGCTTCCCAGAGGAACTGACTCAACTTTGTTGAGGAAGGAGAAAGAATGGAAATGAGAAGCAGGCATGGCGAGGGAAAATACAAAACAATTTATTAAAAATAAGGACATACATATCAAAGATTAGAATAAATGTGGGTAAGTTAGCTATTCTATTAAAAACTAGGGGCCTATATCACTGTCATCATTTTTTTTCATTCAAAGTTATTTAATTTATGTATTTATGTAATATAATGTAGCAATTAAATATAGTATTATATATACATATATACAGTATATATTGTTTAAACAAAGTAACATTTCCATTTCTTTACATATTTATCTTTCCTGTGTGATAAGAATCTTCCAATTTCTTTCTTATACTTTTAAATATGTTAAAGAAGAGTTTCTGCAAAGGGGGTAAAAATAGGGTGGAAAGAGTCAGCTAGAAAATTTTCTGGAAGGAAGGAGATACTTGTGACTTTGTTTCATGCAGGTTAATTGTGGCTGAGCCAAAGAGAGGAGTTGAGAAATGATTGACAGGTAGCTACGAAAGGAGTCAGTGACTGGCTAGATGCAAGGATGGGGTGGGAAAAGCTACTTTTGGTGCTTGGCTTTTGGGTTATGGGATTGGGTGGGTGTTGGGGTCACTTACTGGGCGGGTCATCCAGGAAGTGGAACAAGACTGGGACAGCAAGGTGGTGAGTTTGGGTTTTCCAGAACGCGGGAGGGATCCATGAGACATGTCAAGGACCAGCACTTCTTAGCCTCCTCCCCTTTCTTTACTTTTCTTATCAGCATGCGTTCTTGTCTATAATTCTCCTTTGGCTTCACATAAAGAAAGCTTCGAGCACTTCAGAAGTATCGCTTTATCTTTGCAGAGTGGAGCGGAGGAGTTGATCTCGGGATTATCCATGCAGTCAGTTGTCTCAAGCAGGATTAATTTCTCTAAGTTCAATGAGTGTTTAAAGCAATGGAGCAGATTGTGTTTCTAGTGGAGACAAGAGCCCCAGATCTGAACACTGTTTCCATAGACTTTCTCGGTCACTGTAACACAGCTCTTCTAGAATGTCTCTGAGGTGCAGACAAGATGCCTCAGAGCCACCGCTGGGACTCATCCACTTCTCTCTTGTGCTATTTTCCTTCCTGTACGGAAAGTGTTTCCTTGAAGACAACATAATGGATCTCTAAATGAGGCTCATCTGGGACGTGATACTGAATGATGGATGGCGCCGAATCAATCAGTCACATGCTGACATGGTCCATTCGGTAGCAGTCCTCCATGGAAAATGTTTCCCGTCGTTAAGTGCGCTCATTGTCTGCCATCCTGACCAGCTGGGCAGGTGACTGAATCTCATTTCCTTTACTTTAATTGGCTCATGAAAGCACCCGATCTACAGAATCATGAAGAAGCAAAGAAATACGTGTGAATTCATTTGTCACACTAACACATAGTAAGCACATAACGAATGTCAGTTTCTCTTCCCTGGCTAAGGACTGAGCACGGTGCCGGCAGCCAGAGGGTAAAAGTGAGGACGCATCAACAGTGTAAATGCCCTTACCATCTTAGGTAGGGCCTTACAAGCTCTCTTCAGTAAGCACCTCCCAGTCATGCAGAACTCCCAGAAACAGCTCACAGAGTTTCTCACGCCGGAGGTTCGCTCTTTCTGTGTGCCTTGGCTGTCTGTGATTATCTGCTCTGGGCATTGCTCACTCCAAGGAAACAAACAAAAAGGGGCCATTGACCTTCTAGTGACTTTGAGACAACAAGGGGAAATACCTTCCTACCACTGCCTACTCCCACCCCCTGCCATTAAAGCCAGACATCCTAGTACCAGTGTTTACACCTGAGCCAAAATGACCAAGACAGCATCTCTAGAGCACCAGAACCACTTAGTTTCCTTCCCTGATGTGATGGGAATCTTTTTTCTGCTGTCGCTGTCATATTTATTCTTTTGGTTGCTATTTTCAATCCCTTTCTCCTGGGAGACTTAATTATGAGTCTACAGGCTCTAAGTCTGAGGAAAATTTGATTAACTATTGTCACAGAAGAAGCCTTACCTCCTCCTTACCATTGAATCTTTCTCTTCAGGTCAATACCTTTATGCAAGGCTTCTATTCTTAATGGATAAGTTACTTTTTTAAGAATTATTTTTGCACTCAAGAGAGTGACCTGGGTCCCCATGCCTGGGTAACACAGTAGAGCTGACCCCGAAGGTATAGGTGTGGGAGATCTGACCCTGAGGACAGGAAAACAGGAGAACTGGTACTGTCTCTTGCTCACCTCTGCAAGGGGTGGATTCATCAGGATGCAACTATCCAGGCCCAGAATGGAGGGCTATGAGTTGGCTCATCCCATCATCCACCCTATCTGAGGTCTGCAGAAGCACACAAAGGAAACAGTCCTCAGACCCAAAGTGGTAGGATCTCTACAAAACAGGGCAACGGCGGGAGAACCAGGACGAGTTCCCTGGAGGACCCAGCATAGATAGTGTAGCAGAAGCCAGAGGCCTCAAACCAGACCAATGACTTTTTGCAGGCAACACTTGCAAGTAAAGGTATATGGGTAAAAGGGTTTACTGCGTGACTCACTGTGTCACACCACAGCTTCCATGATGAGATTGATTTTTTTCCTTTTCTCATAAATTTTATTGCATTTTTTTGGGGGGGTTCAAGGGCAAAGGGTAGTTATGAAGGGATGGGAAAATTAATGGGATGGAGATGCATGATGTGAAAGACTCCAAGAATAAATAATAAAAACAAAGACGAAAAACCACTTATTTTTAATTTCTCTTGAAAACAAAATTTCCTCTCTGTTTCTTAGGCTCACCCCAGCATCCTCTCAGATGACCACACTTGAATACGTCTCAGGTCGTTGTTGAGGATTCTGCTGTAGTTTCACATGGAGAAGGAGCTCTAGACTTTCCCTGTGAAGCTAGGCAAAGAGAAGATGGAGAAGGAGCCTTATGAATTGATTGTGAAATGAGAGGGTGGGAGCCTGGGAAGGTGGGACTTCAAATGTGAGTAGAGGTTGCTAGAAATGGCTTCTTGATAGAAGACCAGAAAGAAGTAACCAACGGTTGTGTGGAAGAAGAGACCCTGAAACATTTCCAGAGTGAGGCTAAGTTTTCTGGAAAATCTGTGCCTACAAATTTATTTGTGCAGTAAAAGTTAAAATATTTCATTTTTAATGCAAGGTTTCAAAGTCCTGCATTTGCTCCTTACCCCCCTTTAAACCTCCAGGTCTCTAAACTCCTTTGTCGGCACAGAAATTGATGCCCTCTTAATTTTTCTCTAGATATCAGGCTAGCAAGAGAGTTACTATACCTACTTACTTCACCCATACGGAGGGGTGACAAGCTAATCCTCACAGACACACTGCTAGGGCAATCTGTCTTGGAGGAAGAAGGAAGGAAGGAGTTGGGATTTCTCAGGGAGAGGAGAGAGAGATGTTGTTCTCATTATCCAGACGTCTTTTGAAGGTGCAGTCTCCCTATGCCCATGGTGAGTCTGTTGCCTGCTTTTCATGTCAACTGGACACAAGTTTGGGTCATCTGGGAAGCAGAAATATTAACTGAGAAAAACGACTCTATAGGAATGGCCTGGAGGCAAGTCTATAGGACACTTTCTTGATTGATAATTGATGTGGGAGGGCCCACATCACTATGGGTGCCACCACCTCCGGCAGGTGGTTCTGGGTGGTACAAGAAAGCAGTGAGCAAACCGCGAGGGAGCGAGCAAGCAAGCAAGAAGAACTTTTCCAGGGCCTGTGTATCAGTTACCACCTCCTGGTTCCCGTCCTGTTTGAGTTTCTGGTCTGACTTACCTTGGTGATAGACTGTTTTGTGGAAATGTAAACTGAAATAAACCCTTTATTCCCCAAGTTGGTCGTGGTGTTTTATAAGTGCAATAGAAACTCCAAGTTGAGGAACAGCATGTGTTGGGAACTGAAAAACCAGTTTTTCCTCAATCTATTTACCATCAACATTTAGACTCTAGATGTTCAAAAATGATATTTATTTATTTATTTATTTTTTATGTGTATGTGTTTACACACACCTGTGTGTGTGTGTGTGTGTGTGTGTGTGTGTGTGTGTGTGTGCACCTGTGTGTCTGACCCTCAGCATGGTGCTGGGAAATGAACTTTGATCCTCTGGAAGAAAACCAAGCACCTTTAACTGCTGAGCCACCTCTCCAGCCCTCTAGTTTTAGATAATCAGTAGAATATTAGAAGTCTCATTTCTGAGATATGAAATTGAACATTGAACTAAATGAATAGCAGGAGCAGCTCTGAGAAATGCTATCAAAGGGTTTGGTTTCCATCACCTTCCAGTTGTCCTGTCCTGGTTTTTGTCAATGCCCTTGTACTAACTGACCTTTGACTACATAAATGGACTCATCACCAAGACTGGCCTTCAAAATTCTATGCTAAGAAGAATCAGGCTGTCTTATTCCTAGAGGACTGAAGACAATAGCTGTCCTAATAAATGATCATTAATAATAGACATGGTTTATCCAATGACTGGCATCATGCTTTTCACACAATTATACAAAAAATAATACATCTAGTCTAGAGTGGGTATTTTTTGATAACCAACGTCAGGTGGCCATAGCTACCTGGAAATATAACCTAAGTCAGAGGGAACCATGGAATTGGGAATCTGGTTTAGTTGCATGGACACGGACCTCTCTGCCTGAGTACATTATTACTGTACTAGATACTTACCCAAATCAATTCAGCGAAATCTGTTAAGGAGAAAAGTTCTGAAGTAGGAACTCTGTGGAAAGCAGGGCTTCCAGAGGGGCCTCATGAGGGCACTGCTTGCATCAGGGTTTCATTAGACGAGCAACCATGCCCCATGTTTGGTTTGTAGAACAGCACTCAAGGCCGTTTCAGAAAGCCCTCTCTAGGCTTCTTCAGTGTTTGTCAAACACTCAGTGAGCCCCAAACAACAGTCATGTCTGCCATCTCTCTGCCTCCTTCATGTCTGCTGGCTCCTGCTTCCATCTGGGCTAACTCCTACCTTCTGTGGTCATCAGTCTGAAGACGCTTCTCATTCCCAATCAGGATGAATGCAGAAAGAGGTACTTGACTTTGGGAAATTTATTTTGACTATGTAAATGATCAGGTCTGTGGGTGGGGGAACACATCAGCACAACACAAGTGTCAGGACTGGAGAGGTACTAAGGCCTTGCTGTGGAGAGGTACACAGACTTCCTGTTCAGCTGTGACCCACAGCACACACTCTACTACCTTTCTATCCACTTAGAGGCCAACACATCGTTCTCAAACCATGAGCACATACACCTCTAGGTCTGGTCTTTTCTGAGATGAAGGGTAAGCATCTTGCCCAAAGCTTCATTGATAGCAATCACCACTTTCCTCTGGAGAGACCACTGTTTACGAATGTTCTATAAAGTATATGTTTGGACCAGAAGGATAAGAGCATACCTTGAACTTCTCTGAGTGAAGGTACACCCAATGTCTCTGACTTCCATCTCTTTGCACCGAAGTTGCCTGTTTGTCAGTTACAAGTTTGGGAAAGATGACTCACAGCTCAAAAAGAGACTGAGGGATGGGAAATGGCTCAGTGGTTAAGAATACTTTCTGTTCTTCCAGAGGACCCTGGTTCAATTCCCAGAATACACACAGTGGCTCACAGCCAATTGTTACTCCGGCTTCAGGATACCCGCCACCCTCTTCTGACCTCTGTGGGCACCAAGCATACATGTGGTACAATACATAAATGTATCATACACATAAAATAAATAAATAAATCTAAATTGAAAAAGAAGAGACTGGACTTGTAAGAGAATTGATGAAAGATGATGGGTTCAGCAGAAGCAGGTGATTTCTGATCCTTCCATTCTCTGTGCGGTGCGGGTGGGAGAGGGTGGAGGTTCCAGGAGACAAGGCTCGCTTCTGTTCTGGAGTGAGTTGATCAGACACTGTCCTTGACTATTGCCTGCCACAGTCAACATTTGCAAATCGCATTAGTTCAATACCTTTCTTCCTTTAAAAAATATGCAACATTATTAAAACTGAGTGCATTGCGTGGAAGAGCCTGAACTTGGCATGGTGTTCTCAAAAATGAATTGTCCTTTCCCCTCTGCTTATAGAAATGCTCAATTGCAATTAAAACAATGAGGTTTCTCCCTTGTGTTTCCCTAATCTCCTTATGTAATGGCAGCATTTGACAGCTAAGATGGGGGACAAGAGAAAATCCGCAGCATGATCCTGCTCGCCCTGTGGCGGCTGTATCGGGAAGATCGTTCTGTGTTCTCACACAGTCAAGTACTCTCCCTCCTAGTTTCTGCCCGGACCAAAGTTTAGGCTAGCTAAAAGTGTCTTGTTTCTTGAAACCACAAGAAAAAAGTAATTCCCCACCACTACTATTGGACATTTCTTCACGTTCATTGAATTCATCGAGACCCAATGGCCTTCATATTACAGAGGACATTTTCAAGGAAGTCTGTTGTATTCAACTCTTGTGTTCCATGGTCACAGCTCGCTGCTCAGCATTAATCTCCTTTATGTACATATTTCCCCTGGTTCAACATAATAAGCTGGCTTATAGCCTGATCGCCATTTAAATAGAGTGAAGCACATTCTCAACTCTCACCTATTTCCCTAGAGCCTTGAATCAGCTTCTCAGAGTCTGAAATAAGATTTTTTTTTTTAAAAAAAAGTTTGAATGAATAGCCACACTTGTCTAGATAGTACAGGAAAAACATGAAATTAACACAGAAGAGGTAAAGACAATATGGGGTGGGGGATCAAACCACAATCTTCATTCACAAAGATTAAAGGCTGAATTCATGAAAAGAACAGACAATAAATATGGAGAGCAAATGACTGAAGAGCTCCAAATATAAAAAATGGTGGCAAAACTTAAACCAAAGGGTTGATTGAAAAGTTAAACAAATGATATGGGCTGGATTGTGATCTCTTCAGTTTGAAGACTGAAGCTCTAACCTCCAATACCTCAGGATGCACCTGTATTTGGAGAGAGGGCTTTAAAGAGTTACATAAGTTGATAGCTCTTCGGCATTTTTCCATTGGCATGTCCATTGGTGTCACCCTTTTCCAGGTCATGCTTGGGCAGTTATGTTGGTGCGACTTTACAGGTGTAACTTCTGATATCATAAAGAAACACAATCAGGGCAAACTCCCTGATCCTCTGTCTCTTACAGTCTTTTTGCTGTTCTACAAACCTTACACAAAGAACTAAATGCAACTGAAGAAAGCTGTGAGTGGGGCTGGTGGCCTTCCCTGGGGAAGAGCGTACCACTTGGTTATCCAGTGCCAAAAGAGGCAGTCCTGAAAATATACCTACAGGAATCGTTATATGGACTAAGCAGGTTATATTTAAGAATATATATATATCAGGTATGCATACAATAATAATGAAAACAGAGACCATGAATTTAAAGAACAGGGAAGAGTATATGAGAGGGTTTTGAGGAAGAAAAGGGAGAGAAATGTGATTGAGTATAAGCTCAAGAAAGGGAAAAAAAGAATTACCTAGGTAAAAATATGGCTATGTAAGGGGCTCCAAGCCATTCTGACTAGTAGTCACACAAACAAAGGGAATTAGACCAACAGGGATGTCAGAGGTCATATATGGAGAGATGAGTATGTGATCAGACACTAAAAGAGTGGCCCCCTTCATCTGAACAGAGCTCTCAGAAGAAACTAACTGTGCTGATATGTTGGTGTTGGACTGATAACCTTCAGAACGCAAAGAAAGTAAGATTCTGTTATTTCAGCCACTCATCCTTTGGCATCTTATTATGATACCGTAAGTAGTGATATAACAAGTTTTCAGGAAACAAATAACAACAACAACAAAAAGCAATGAGTCAAATAAAATAAGGAAGTGAGAAGCAGAGCAAAAGGAAGTTTATGTGAACAAAGATCCCATAACAAGGAAGTGGACAAATGAAAAAAGAAAAGAAGAGAAACAGAAACCAGCATTAAGATGTTGTGAAATATGTAGTCTGACAACAGAGTCTCTCTGCCAAGTAGTATTGGCACGTGCTTTCAGAACTCAGGAAATATAGAATAGTTCTCTCTCTCTCTCTCTCTCTCTCTTTTAATTAGTTATTTTACATCCCAACCACAATCTCCTCTCCACCCTCTTCTCCTACTCCCTCCTCTTTGCCTCCCTCAATCCACTCCCTGGTCCATATTCTCTCAGAAAAGGGCAGGCCTTCCATGGGCATCAGCAAAGCACAGCTTGTCTAGCGACTGTAAGACCAGGCACCTCCCCCAGTATTCAGGGTGGACAAGGCAACTCAGCATGAGGAGCAGGTTACCAAGAGCCAACCAAAGCACCAGGGACAGTCCCTGCCCGCATTGTTAGGAGTCCCACAAACAGACCAAGCTACTCAACTGTCATATACGTGCAGAGGTCATTGGTTGGTCCCATGCCGGCTTCCTGGTTATTGGACCAGATTCTGTGAGTACCCATGATCTAGGCTAGCCATTTCTGTGGATTTTCCTTTGATATCTCTGAAACCCCTGACTCCTACAATCCCTCCTCTCTCTCTTCAGCAGGATTCCTGAGCTCAGCCCATTGTTCGGCTGTAGGTCTCTGAACCTGCCTCTATCAGTCACTGGATGAAGGTTCTCCTCTGAGAACCAGGGTAGCCACCAATGCCATCACAGCAGATGGTGTGTTTGGGCTACACATCTACTGCTGCCAGGAGTCTTAGCTGGAGCCATCCTTGTACACTCGTGGGAGTTGCCCTTGCATCAGGTTTCTACCTGACCCTGTAAGTCCCCCTTTCTTGTCATCTCTCTCAGCATTGTCCCCCTCCTCCCACTTCCCAACCTGATCCCTCAAGTGCCCATGTCCAC